ACTAATTGGTTATTTATTAGTTTTTTTATGCTGTTGCTGTTGTTGTCTGTTTTAATCAGTTTTGTTATGCAGCATTCTGCAAATTTCAAAAACTTTGTTTAAAAAAAATAGAACAAAAAGGACAAACCAAATCCTTAATTCTGCAAAATCTATAATTTTGCACAGCAGTTTAACAATTTGTTTTAAGGCAATATCGCCATTTTAGTGTTTATAAAATATGGCATCAGAATGAATGCAGCGTTTGCAGAAGGTTTGATGGTTTTGTTGCAAACATCCTGATTGCCATCAGGTTCTGCTAAACTTTCTTGTCACTTTTCGTTCTGAACACAAACAGAAACGGAGCCGTTTTTCTGCGTCTTCATCGGTCAGGGTAGAGCTCAGCGACATGATGATTTCAGAACGTCCTCATGTGAAGTCCTGCAGCGGGGTCGAGGCGTTCAGCACAGTCTGCCCCAGGCTGGTGTTGTATGTCCTCTTGTTCCGGAGTCTCAGATATCAGATCCTCTGCTGGACCTCTGCACCGCTCAGCTTACACTCCTCTTCTGCCCCCTCATACCTGTCTGTCGTTCCACCTCTTCTGCGCAATCCCTGAGCTTTTTTCCATCTTTGCCTTTAATCCCTCCTTCTCTCTGATGTTCTGATTCCACTTGAAGACATAAATATACGTTTAGGCTTTTCTGGCAGCAGACCACACTGAACATGATTCAACAGAGGTTGCAGACTTTAATTAAAGGTTTGCAATGAAAATGCTAGTTTCTGTAAGAATAAACATTATTGTCAATAAAAAAGCAGTTTTTCATAGCTTTATTTTTGTTTATTTTAGCTCTTAAATGAAATTGCAGGGAACATTTAAGTCTTAAATGATGGCTTGACGACTTTCACAGGGTGTCTGATTGTGTGTTTTTTCAAGCTAAGCTTGTTTGGCCAGAAGCATCACCAGGAATGAATAAATCATTTTTAAGGAGGTGTCACACCTGTCAACAGGGCRTCTTTATCCACAACCTCTAATTTAAGTTGGTTACCTCCCTGTTTTGCATTGTACTTTGTACAACTCAACCTCCCCAGTTTTCTTGGGAACACACCTGTCATCATATCAGTTAGAGTGATTGGTCAATCTGAAGTAAAATTCAGCTGTCCTGCCAGGTGCACAGAGGACTCAGAGCATCAAAAAGATATTTACTTTGAATGGCATCAGTCAGAAAAGTTATAAAAAAATTCTCTCAGAACTAGAAATCCCATTAAATTCAGTGAAGAGAGAGTATTTAACAACWGTGGCATTACCAAGAGTTGCTTTMGTTTCTGTTCTGAGTTGAACCGRAGACTTTATTAATCCTTTTAGCAGCATTTTYTTTGTTAAAAACGACTAGMGRCAAATSRAGTTTTTATTTCTGGTGGTTGTTTTGTAGCTGCTTGTGTTTGGAGACATCACTCTTTCTGACTTCTTCTGTCAGGCGGCTGCTGCTGAGCCCCTCCACCGTCATAAAGCACTCACAGGCGGACACACCTCACTCTAACATCGCACCAGTCCCAGCTAGAGAGCTAGCTAGGTAGCAAGCTGTACATAATGTTAGAAAGTTTGAATGTTGTGGACCGGATTTTGGCGAAGCCATTTGATAGTCTTCCTTATGAAGAAAAACTTAGAGTTAAACAGCAGGGCTGATCAACTCCTCAGATTAATTTGGTGCAAAAGGTGGGGAAAAGTAAGATAAACAACTTTTTATTGATCCCACAGTGGGGAAATAACAGGTCTTTTCTGCTGGCCTGGTTTGACAAAGTGAGCTGGCTGCTGTAAAAGACTAGAGAATAATCTGGAAAATGATTATAAAAGCATTGGATCAATTAATTCCTTTAAAAAAATGATCAAAGCAAAATTGTTAAAGAGATGAAATTGTTTAATTTGTATTTGTATGAGTCACTGTTTGAGGGGTTGAATTTTTTGTTTTGTTTTATTATTGTTTGAAATTAATATTTTTTTGTGAATAGGAGCAGATATAAGATCTTTTTCTTCTTCTGCTGCCTTTCATCTTTTTTTTGTATTTTGTTTTATGTAAGGTTTTGTTTTTTAAAATGAAATGATGAAAAGGAACGGAGGGTAGAATTTATCAACCGACACATTTTATTATGTCGGCCGAAATTGAGCTTCCTCTTCTTGAAAGACCAGCATCCTCCACTGACCTGAACCCACAGTGAAACACGGCGGCGGCAGCATCATGCTCTGGAGTTGCTTTTTCCTCAGCTCGAACTAGCATTTTAGTCGAGTTGGATGCAATTATAAATATCTGCTTTTACGTGTTCGTTTTGTTTTAAAGCCTTCAGGTTTCTGCTAAATTGCAATGACCCCCCCTGTGCAATCATCCAAAACAAAACAAGAAAATTTAGGATTTTAAATGTCCTCGCCAGATTCTAGTCTTATCTATGCACAAGAGACGCCACAATCTGACAGATTCACATTAACAAGAAAGTGTTGGTGATTTTCAAGTCAAGGTGTGGCTTTTCTAAAGAAATCGTAGTTAAATCTGAAGATGCTTCAGCTGTTTATTCTATTTGTTTTTCCTCTGCAACTTAACTTGAATTGGATGAGATGTATGCTACAGTAGAGGGGACACCACAAACAAGTTGTGCAGACCTTCATTTATCCAGTGTATTTGTTTTATGCTGTGTTGATAAGACCTCAATAATGTACTGTTTTGAATAACAAATTASATTAACTTAACAAGARAAAWTATGGTTTAGTCAGCCAGAGGAGACTTTAAACACTTAAATAACTAAAGTAGATGGACAATTAAGACAGTGTATAATGTATGAAACACCTTTAGAGGACCTAAACTTATATATATATTTATATATAAGAAAATAAAAAAATAGTGGCATGTTTCTACACAGTCACCAGTTTGAAACTGATTGTGACATCTGCAGCTTCTCCGACTCTCTCCAGCCCACAGGCAGTGAGTCACAGTGTATTTCTGACTCCGTGTCTGGACTCTTAGCTACAAATAGACTTGCTGTTTGTGTCGAGGCAGGTTTTTTTTTCACTCCACAGAGTCGAGTTGAGCTCACATCTCAGCGACGGCACAGTCAGCCTTGTAGTCTGCATCTCCCAGGTGCCAGACGGTTTCTGTGTTGGTGTCTGACTCACGGCTTAATGTTGCAGAAGTAAAGAAGCAGCTCAGTTTGTTTGGAAGGTGAATCAGCTTTATTGCAAATACTTTAGTAATAAGCAAAGCCGTTATGATTGGCAGATGAAATCTCATTCCCATGAACTAAAACGCATGGGTTATTTGTGTGAATCGTGTTAGTTTGAAGAAGCCCTGTAGATTCAGTGGGATGATCCTGCTTTTAAATCCTTCTTTTTCCACATTTAAATCCTTCAGCTGGGGTCTACGTAAAGTGGAACAGCAACGCTTTATGAATTCCTCCTTATTGTAACTCCACAAACCCGTCTTGAACCCCCTTTTCTGAGGTGTGTCTCAGATCAACTCATTTTGAGGCTGTCTCTTTAAATCCGAACGATGCGCTGCACACCCCGCCCCCCTCCAGCTTCCAGACCGGTCCATTCTGGTTTGATAGAGTGGTTTACGACTATACAGCAGCGCAGAAACTTTTTATTTGCAAATGAACAGCATTTAACAGCTAAAATAAGGTGGACTTTGCATGATCTGTCCCCTTTAAGGGTTAAAATGCAGTGTTATATAAAGTACCTCAAATGATACTTGAGTAAAAGTGAGCGCTTAAATGACATTTATTGGGAGGTGACTTCTCAAAAAAAATTACTTTTCCAATGGTGTGCAGCTGTGATGGACTRCGTACAAAGTAATACAGTGTCAGAATGGTATATATTTATATTTCTCATCCATCCATCCATCCATCCATCCATCCATCCATTTTCTTCCGCCTATCCGGGGTCGGGTCGCGGGGGCAGCAGCTTCAGAAGGGAGGCCCAGACCTCTCTCTCCCCAGCCACTTCTTCCAGCTCCTCCGGGGGAACTCCAAGGCGTTCCCAGGCCAGCCGAGAGACATAGTCCCTCCAGCGTGTCCTGGGTCTTCCTCGGGGCCTCCTCCCGGTGGGACGTGCCCGGAATACCTCACCAGGGAGGCGTCCAGGAGGCATCCTTACCAGATGCCCGAGCCACCTCAACTGGCTCCTCTCGACGTGGAGGAGCAGCGGCTCTACTCTGAGTCCCTCCCGGACCGAGCTTCTCACCCTATCTCTAAGGGAGAGCCCAGCCACCCTGCGGAGAAAACCCATTTCAGCCGCTTGTATCTGGGACCTCGTTCTTTCGGTCATGACCCAAAGCTCATGACCATAGATGAGGGTAGGAACGTAGATCGACCGGTAAATCGAGAGCTTCGCTTTCTGACTCAGCTCTCTCTTCACCATGACGGACTGGTACAGCGCCCGCTTTACAGCAGACGCTGCGCCAATCCGCCTGTCGATCTCCCGCTCCGTTCTTCCCCCATTCGTGAACAAGATCCCCAGATACTTAAACTCCTCCACTTGAGGCAGGACGACGCCCCTGACCCGGAGAAGGCACTCTGCCCTTTTCCGGCTCAAGACCATGGCCTCGGATTTGGAGGCACTGAGCCTCATCCCGGCCGCTTCGCACTCGGCCACGAACCGCTCCAGCGAGAGCTGCAGATCTCGTTCCGATGAAGCCAACAGGACCACATCATCCGCAAAAAGCAGAGATGCGATCCTAAGGCCACCAAAACGGATCCCCTCAACACCTCGGCTGCGCCTAGAAATTCTGTCCATGAAAGTAATGAACATCC